TGAAATGTTTGTCCATTGTCTCCATTTTTGTTTTAAAGAAAACTCTAAAACAAAAGTTTGCAAAATTAACTCTGTTACACCAAGCACCTGCTCACTGAGCAGCTCCTCCCTGTGGTACTGCAGATACTGGTGTGCACAGACAGATTTCCAGACATATTGATGGGAACTAGTTGAAATTCTGAGGCTGAATTTCCCTCCTCCCACACTCTCCCCTTTCACTCAGCTGCTGGAAGGCATCTCCAGAGTCCCCAGTTGGCTCTGTGCATGAAAGAACATGTTTTCTGATTTAAATAATCTGTACCATACAAGAGATGAGACAACTGTCCTGTGAAATATCACAGCCCTATTTCCCACCTCCAAATCTGATGCCCTCCCCATGGGATGCTTTTTGCCAACCATTCCACAAAAAACTCTTCCAGTGGACACCTTGTGCCCTTGGGGGGCTCTTACACCACAGAGTGACTCCCTTCAGTGCTCCTTCCTGGCTGCTCTGCTTTCTCCTGACACCACCACCCTGATCCCACCCCATTACTTTGAGCCCCTGTGGTCCCTCAGTCCCGAGTGCTGGCACAAACTTGTCTGGATGATGTCAAAATGCCTCACAAATTCCTATGCAAAGGAGGAATGTTACAAAGGAAGGGGTGGACACTTGTGGTGGCTGGTACGAAACCTCTTTGTCTCTTGCAAAAGGTGGCTCCATGTGTTCCTCATGTGAGACATCACCTTGAGGAGGGACATTTTATAGAACCATGGAATATCCTGAGTTTGAAAGGACACACCCGAGTCATCAGTCCAGCTCCTGACCCTGTATAGGACATGCCAAATATCCCAACAATCATGTGCCTGAGAGCGCTGTCCAAAGGCTCCTGGAGCGCTGGCAGCCTTGTGCCTGTGACCATTCCCTAGGGAACTTGTTCAGTGCCTGATCCCCTCTGCAGGCAGAACCTTTTCCCAATATCCAACATAACCCTCCTGACACAGCTCCAGCTGCTCCCTGGGTCCTGTCCCTGCTCACAGAGAGCAGAGATTGGAGCTGCCCCTTGAGATGAAGATGCAGCTGCTGACGAGTCTTCCCTCAGTCTCCTCCAGGCTGACTTTGTGTGGCCCCTCCACACCCTTCCCCATCCTCTAGACCCTCTCCAACATCTTTAGGTCTTCCTTATATTGTGCCACCCAAATTTGCCCCCTGAATGGAGGTGAGGCTGCCTCAGCCCAGAGCAAAGCAGAACAATCCCCCTCCCTGGCAGGACCTGGTGCTCCCACGAGGTGCTGTCCATCCTGGCTGCCAGGGCACACAGTGGGAGTTTCCTCAGATCCTAAACTCATTTTGTTCTCTGAGTAGACTGCCACAACACCCCAACAATGGTGATGGGACCACACAGGTCACCCACAGCCCAGCAGAAGGAAGGGAGGAGTTTTGGGAAGGTTATACCTGGAAACACCTCAAATGCAAGCGGTACATATGGGCAGGAATCATGGAACAGCCTGGGAGGAACCTCAGGAATTATCTTTTCCATCTCTTTGCCCCAAAGCAGCATAAATGGATGGGGATGATCCAAGCTGAGGGTGAGGAGTGGCTGTGGAGCAAGGTTACTGGTTCCCAGTTTCAGACCATCATCTCTACCCCAGTCCCCACTAAATCCCTGTCTGCTTTGATGTGGGAGCCAAATCAAGCTGCACTTAAGAGATGGGGAACAGCCACCTTTGGAGAGCAGGACCAGTAGAACCAGGGGGAGGTGTCCCAGGGGCCTCATTAACCCTTTTAATGGTGACCTTGTGTCCATTCCACAGGGAGCCACAAAAACTGCCCAGCCTGCAGGGAGGGAGGGAGGGAGTGCACCACCACCATCACGCCTGACAGCCTTGTTTTTCAAGGAGAGGGTCTTAAAAGGTGCTTTTCTCACTGGGTCAAAGCAGACTCAGGAGGCTGTTGGATGGTTTTTCCAGACAGAATCCAGGAAGAGGTTGGAAATGCCCCCAGGCTCTCCCTGTCTGCAGGGGTGGCTTAGCAGGTCCCAGTTTAGTAGGTGCTTAAGCAGAATGAATTTATCAAGGCACATGTAAATCTCAAAGGTGTTAAAGTCTCATGAAAGCCACCACAGCTCAAGGAATGTTTAGGGCCAAGCAGCTCAGGGGTTTCCCCTGTAAACCTGGGTGGAAGCTGTAGGTTTAAATCAAAGATGAATCCCTGAGAGAAGCGGTTTCATACCCTCCTTGGAAAGAGGAAGGTTGGTCCCTTTCTGCCAACACCATCTTACACAACCAGCCAGGACAAAGTAGGGACATGTGAAAAGGTCTCAAGGAAGACCATTAAAGCCATTGCAAACCTTCTCCTGGGAAGCCCAAACCCCATCAGAGTCCTTCCTGCTTTGAAGTTGGTGGAACCTCCACCATGTGACTCTGAACCAGCTTTGTGAAAGCTCAGCAGCTGCAAACCACAAGCGCTGCCCTGGACTGACTTCCTCTGAAGTGCAAGGCTGGGCACCTGGAAAAGCCACTTCTTAGGGACAGGAGCAGGAGCCAGAGGTTGAAGATCAGGTTTGTTGTAGAGGAACAGCCTGACAACTCTTCATACACAAGAAGGGATCTCAGAGCTTGCAGCTGGTAGAGGATGATTGTCCCATGAGCAGCATTTTCCCTGTTTTCCAACACAACCAGGGCTTTGGAGGGTCTACAGCCCTGAAATGTGCGTCACCCATGTGGCACAAGGCACACCATGGTGGCTGAGCAGAGATACAGGGGATAACTGGGACCTGACCCAGCCAGATACAGATTTCTCACAGCTGGAAAAACTGGAAAGTTGTTGTCCTCAGGGGAAAAGGGTCGTGTCTTTCTTGCCTTGAAGAGGAGATGCAGTGTCTCTGTGGTCCTGCTGGGCAGCAGAGCTTGGAGCAGCGGCTGCTCCGATCCCGCAGCTGTGCAGGGCTGAGCCACATGGGAAGCAGAACTAGAGCCTGGCTTCTCCTGGCTTTGGCTTGCCCGTGGTTGTGCCAACCTAAAAAAGTTCATGAAGGTCATGTCTGGACTTCCCTAAGGGCTCAGTGATGCTTTGTCCTACCCGTGAACGCCCTGTCCCCAGGCAGTGCTGCACGTTTGGCTTCAGACCACACACCCAGTGTCTTCTCCAGGGATTGCACCAATGCTTTGGCTCAAAATACAACTCACTTCCAAAATATTTCTTCTCTTTTCACTTGCATGCAAGAGGTTCCAGTGCTTGGGTTACCTCGAAGTGACACGAAGGATGTGGTGCCCCAAAGCTCATCTGATTTCTCCAACTATCTGTGAATGAGAAAAATTTGGGATACTGAAAGGTGTACCTGGCCACAACAGGGGGTTGGAATGTTTTATGGTCCCTTCCAACCCAAACCATTCCATGATTCCATGATTCTTTGAAAGTACATTGCATTGGAAGATGTGCATCTGTGCATATTCAGATTAGCATAATTATAATGGAACATGATTATAATTATAGTATTTTTTTTTCATTTCAACCCTTTATGAGACATGTTTAAAAAAAAAGGAAAGACCTTTCCAGGAAATACTCCACAAATATTCTAAATATCCTGATTCTTTTTCCCAACTTTTAATTCAAGACACTACATTTCACATTGACAATAGCACTGAGTCCTCCCAGAACAAGTTAATTTTGCCCCAGCAAAGATGTAAAGATTTCTCAGGGCAAGCTCTGCAATCCCTTGTGTTTTTATGATTAGGCCTCTTTTCTAAGGCAAAAAAGGAACTTTATTCGTTTCCAAGCAAATTCAAAAATATTTTAAAGAATTTTAATTGAGATGATTCCTTCTCATTACCAGATACTACTGGAGGGATTTAATGTCAAAAAGGTGTGTCAAGGGACCACCAGGCAAAACCTTCACTCCAGCTGACATTTCTCAACCTGCTTGTAACACTTCCCTTCTTTGTTACTTCTCCTGTTCATGTGAATCTGCTGTGTGACCTGGTCCCATCACGCCCATGTTCAAAATTCAGCACCTTCCCTGGGCACATAACTCTGTAATAAATCACTGTCATTTCCCAGAAATGCCTTATCTTCAATTTCAGGTATTCTAAGGGGCAGTGGAAGCCTCCTTGGGCCCTGGCACAGGTTGTCCAGAGTGGCTGCCCCTTTCCTGGAAATGACCAAGGCCAGGTTGGATGAGGCTTGGAGCTACCTGGGATAGTGGAAGGTGTCCCTGCTCACAGCAGAGGGTGGAATGAGATGAGCTTTAAGGTCCCTTCTGAGCCAAATCACTCCACGACTTCACGATTCTGTGAACCCCCAGTTTCCCAGAGCATCTTCCCCAAGACCAAACTCATCCTCAGCACCACCTCATGCGGTTCCTGCTCCTTCAATATGGAAACCACCAACCCCATCCTTCTGGTCAGCACCCGAATTCTCTCCAAGAGCCACAGTCATCCCCACAAGAGGAAGGAAGAAATGCTTACGAGAACGCTCCCCACAACGTCAGTGCTGAGCCGGGATGGATCCGCCTTCCCTCTCCCTGGCACCCGCGCTGTTGCTCAAGAGCCCGCCCGGAGCTGGCCCCGGACCCTGAAAGGGGCGGCATCCCCACGACATTTTGCAGGAGGTCCTGAAACGTAATTAAACGCTGTGGTGAAACCAAACCGTAAACAAGCCATGAATAAAACCCCCTTGAATTATTCTGCTAAACTATAATTACACAATAAGGAAGCAGATTAATTAAGTAAAATATAAGTCCTGAAACTGAAGCTTGCAAGCAAAGCAGTTTATTTTAATTTCCACATTATTTCATATGAGATAGAAGTGTTTGCTGTGGGTTTAAAATGTTGGAAGCCATTCCTTGCTGCCAGGCAGACCAAACCCATTGGATAAATTAAATTTTTGCATCTGAGGCACCTCCTGAAATGTATATAAGGAGAAGGGCTGTGCCTCAGAGGAGCTAAAGGAGCTCTCCTTCTTCCAGTCCCTGCTCCTGTCTTGCTGCTCCGCATCGCCGTGACTGCCCGCCCACCCCAGCACCATGAGCCGACAGTGCTACACCTCTGGCTCCATCCTGGGAAGACGAGGCTTCTCCTCGGCCTCCGCCGTCTGCGGCCTGGGCAGGGCCAACAGCAGCTCGGCCTCCGTGTGCCAGCCCGTGGGACGGAGGTGTGGGATCGGTGGCTTCAGCAGCCGCAGTGTGTGTGACCTGGGCCGAGGCCAGAGGATTTCCTTCGGCGGGAGCTGCCGCAGCGGGGTCTACGGCGGTGCCGGAGTCGGGCGCTGCGGCGTCGCTTACGGCGGGGGCCGCTTCGGCACCGTCGTGGGTTTTGGGAACTGTGCGAGCTTCGGGGGCCTGGGCAGCTACAGAGGCCTGGGGGATGGCGTGGCCGTGGGGGGCTACGGCGGCAGCATCGGCATTGGCCTCGGCGGAGGCAGGTCCGAGGGCATTCGCGGCGTCAGCATCCACCCAGAGCTCCTCAAGCCCCTGTGCGTGGGCGTGGACCCCGAGGAGTGCCAAGTGAGGACCCATGAGAAGGAGCAGATCAAGAACCTCAACAACCAGTTTGCCTGTTTCATCGACAAGGTGAGACCCCGCTTTCCCTGCCCCGTGTCCCTCGGCTCCGAAGGGTGCGTGTCTCCAGAGACAACATGGGGGGCTATTTCTCCTGGTGCCCTGGTATTTAAATATCTCTGATGAGCCGTGGTGGTCCTGGCCTGGAGACCTTCTGGATCTGAGCCTTGCACCAAGGCAACACCATCAGTATTGTACCTTTGGATGGTCACCAACCTGCTAAAGAGCTCAGTTAGGAGCAGCTCCAGGTAAATCCAAACCTGTGAGTGATGAGATGAAGACACAGAAGGATAGGAAATTTTATCTCAAGTGTATAATCTGATGTTGCTTTCACAAATCTATATACTCCAAAGGACTTCTGCATTCTTAAAATAGTTTGTGTTTCATTAAGGTGATATGGAAAGTTGAATTTAACTAAAATGGGAGGAACTATTTTAATTTCTCTGTTCCTCCACTCTGTGAATGAAATGATTTGGTGATTTCCTAAAAAGATGTAATTTATCATTGTTTTCTTAGCTACATTTAAGGGTTTTCATGACTCTTTAGAGAGCTGTTATGGGAAATAATTTTTCAAGCAGCAAAGAAAATCTGCTCTGTCTCATCTGATCTTGATTTTCCTGGAGAGTTGTTCTGCAACTGGAAAAACTGAATCCACCCAGGAGCAGCAACTCCTGCTTCTTCCCATTTGTAAAATGACTTATTCATGACCCATCAAGCTCCTAGAGAGCCCTTTAATCTACAAGGGGAAAGTCATGATAAGTATCCACGATTGGAGTTTAAATCAGATACATCCAAATGAGGTCCTGGATGGAGCTTTTAGTGCTGAGAAAGACTTGTTACTGCCCTGGGCCCACCAGGAGGCCGAGGATCCAGTTCTGGGAGAGGAGGGGAAGTGTCTGGCTGAGCCAGCATATGTTGAACCCAGGCTTGGCCTCAACACAGAGTGAAGGCACTGATGTTGCTCAGCCTGAGATTCGAGTCCTGGGTGGGACCAGTTTAGCTCAGAGAAGATGCTGGTCCCACTTAACCCCCTGAGATAGCAGTACCTGGCCATTTGCAATTCTGATTTGATTTTCACTTCTCCCTTTGTGAAGTGCAGAAACCCTGGGACAGGAGAGCCTGACTCTCCCATCTCTTCCTTGTCCAGGTGCGGCTGCTGGAGCAGCAGAACAAGGTGCTGACCACCAAGTGGGAGCTGCTGCAGCAGTATGTGCTCCCAGCATCCCGGAGAAACTTGGAGCCTGTGTTTGAGAACTTCATCTGCAACCTGAGGAAGCAGCTGGAGTGTGTGATGGGGGAGCGTGAGCGGCTGGAGAATGAGGAGCGGTGCCTGCGGGACCTGGTTCAGGAGTTCAAGTGCAAGTAAGTCACACACAGGGAAGCTGCAGAGCCGGACACTGCTGGCCTGGGTGGTGTTCCTGAGTGTGAATCCAAGGAAATTGCACTGGATGGACCAACAAACTGGGGTACAGGGCAAGTAACCTGAGTACTGGGTGAATTTCCTGCACTGGGCATCCAGTGCTGTACTGGAGATGCTGCTGATGGACTGGGAGATGCTTCCAAGCCCAGTTTCCTCAGGGAGCAGGATAGGAAATCACTTCCTCTGCCTCCTGCACCCCCCTGTGATTTGCCATATCCAATCTCCCCCATCACCTGTGCCTGTGTCTTCCCCAGTGCCATCCATTCCCACAAAACAAAAAAAAGTCAGCCAATTTTCTCCTCCCCACTCTTTACCCACATCATGTTGGGCTTCATTCTCTTTTCCCAGAGGGAATGTGGGAATGTTTTTTTTAAATCTAAGCCATAGATACTCCTTAATATTTCCCCGTGTGCTCTGCTAAGCCACAAACCAGGTCACTGGATCAACTTTCCGCACAGTTCATCAACTCAGGTGTTTTTTTCTTGCTGAGCCACCACTGAGCTGATCCAACTCACAGAACCATCATCTTGTGAAAGTTCTTGCAGGTCTCAATTACTGATTCATTATGCCCTGACTGTGCTCCCCACTGCACCCTGGAGTTTCACAGGTTGCTCAAGCTCCTGACCTTTCCCCGAGGCATTTTGGCCACAGTCTCCCCATAAGCACTCTGAGCAGAGTCCTGGATACTCTCGAAAAACATCTCACAAAGTAGAAGGGCTGGAAGCAGCAATCCAAGCCTCCAGCTTTGCATTTCTGGTGGTTTGGCTGGATTTTCTGTCCTCTGACTCCAGCTACCCAAACCACTGGCATGGCTAAAACTGCTGAGTAACGCCGTGAGGGGTAAGAAACAGCAAAAATAATGATAAAAAATTAGTTGCAAGGTGAAATCTCATTGCCCTTGGTCTGCACGGTTGGGTGATGGAGATGAGACCCCCAGAGCTGAGCATCCCCCCGCTCTGCCTTCCTGCAGGTACGAAGATGAGATCAACAAGCGCACAGCAGCAGAGAATGAGTTCGTGGTGCTCAAGAAGGTGAGTCAGGACAGCTGAGGGTGGGCAGACCCTGGGAGTGGGGTCAGCGGGAGAAGTGGAGGGTCCTGGCACCATGGCACAGCCTGATGCCTCAAAAATGAGGCAACCTAAGGAATCTGGAGGACCTTTCTGAGGTTTTCAGCACATGCAGCCCAAACCCACACAATGCTAAGGGCTGGAAATAGAGGGGTTTCCTCCAAGTCTAAAGAAAACCTGGGATTTGCCATAATTGTTCCTTCACATCTTTTCACCAAATTGCTGGTATCTCTCCAGGATGTGGATTGTCTCTACCTGACCAAGGAGGAGTTGGAGGTGAGGGTGGGTCTCCTGCGGCAGCAGCTGGAGTTCCTGAAGTGCATCTATGCCGAGGTAAGAGCTCCTGTTGCAATCTGCTCCCTGGGCTGAGGCAGCCATCTCCTGCCCTCCCCACCCAAGCCTTACACCAAGAGTGCAGGGAAAGGTGTCTTTTCTGAAAATCCTGGGATTGCAGCCCAAAAGTGTATGTCTTTAGATGTATTTGATAACAACACTGTCACACCTACTTTGGGAAGGCAAAGGGGGTCGTGGTTGTCTCCTACATTGCTGCCCACAAGGGGAGGGATCTTTTGCCTGAAAACCTCTCAAATTCTAATCCAGACCATCCCTGGGTTGGCTCAGTATTTCTAGAACTTGTTTTGTTTTATTTTTACATTAGTCAAAATATTTTTATGAAAATAACAGCTCTGTCTAAAATTCCCCACGTTTTAAACAAAACACACTGGGGGCACTTTGCATTGACACCCTTTTGAGCTAAACCCCTTCAGCAGGGGTCAATGGGGCCCAAAGAACTCATGCCCAAAGGATTCCCAGTCCAGGAAAGCACTGGCACAGCCAGAAATGCAGGAGTGGGCTGCTCCACCAGGATTCCCCACCCTTCCTTAGGGAACTGCACACAGCCATCTCATGTTGTGCCTCCAAAACAGGTCACAGCTGCCAGGTCTTGCTGGACTCAGGTCACCCAGCTGGAGAACCCCACGCTGGGAGCTCAGGGGAGAACCTCTTCAAACCAGAACCCCCTTGCTGGGGTTGCTGCAGGCCTGGCTGGGGCTGGTTGAGGGAATGGAACTGATGTTCTGGTCCTGCAGGAGAGGGCTCAGCTGGACTGTCAGCTGTGTGACACCTCTGTCATCGTGCAAATGGACAACAGCCGGGACCTGGACATGGAGGGCATCATCAAAAGTGTGGAGTGCTGCTATGAGGAGATTGCCCAGAAAAGCAAGGCCGAGGTGGAGGCTTTCTACCAAACCAGGGTGAGTAGTCCATGAATTTCCATGACAGTCCATTTCTGAGACCATTTCTGAGTCTATTTCTGAGACCATTCCTGTCCTTCCTGATGCAACTTTAACCCACCTCACATTGTGTATTAGCTTCAGTTTGCTTAAGAAGTTGTACCAAAAAAACCCTAAACCCAAACCAACCTTAAAAATGTGGTCTGAGACATTTTGGCACAAGCAGAGCAGATCAGACTGTTCAGAAATGTCCTCTTCATGCACCCTGAGGAGCATCATCACTTCCCAAAGGGCAAATCATAGAACCCTAAGGCTGGAAAAGACCTCCAAGATCAGCGAGTCCAGGACTCACCTGAGACTCTCACCTTGTCCAGGCTGAGGCCACGTCTGGGTGGTGCCCTGGGGACACCGACCTCGGTGCAGCTCCAGAGAGTTCCATCTCCCCAGGAAGGCAGGGGGCCCTGTGAAGGGCGATTTGGGTGCATTGACATCATCCTCTTCCTGTACAACAGCTGGAGGAACTGCACAGCAGCCGGGGCAAGTTCTGTGATGACCTAAGGAACAACCAGAGCGAGATTGCTGAGCTCAACAGGATGATCCAGAAGCTGCAGTGTGAATCAGACAATGTGAAGAAACAGGTAGGACCAAAGGATGGATCCACCTGAGAGTGCGGCTCCTCTGTCAAAGGGCATTGTTCTACCAGCTCCCACCCTGTGGAGCTTCAAAGAGCCCATGCTCCAGATTAGATCTATTTTAACTTCTCATCTGCTGTTCATGCACACAAAAAAGCAGATTTATTTTTCACTTGGGAAATAAGAAGTGCATTGGTTTGGTGATACCAGAATAAGTGTTTGCTCTGGGGTCCCACCAGGTTGCAGCCAACAGATCCCATCCTCTTCATCCCATATAGCTTGGCTACCACAAATCCAGCCTAAATCTTGACTCTCTGGCACTTCCTGGCTGAGAAATAGGGGGTCATATAAGCAACGCTGTGGAGATACCCCTTAATACCACCCTTGCCTGCCCTCTTGCCCTGAGAAATTGTGCCTGGAAGTGTCCAAGGCCAGGCTGGATGTGGTTTGGAGCAGGCTGGAGTAGTGCAAGGTGTCCCTGCCCATGGCAGGAGATGGGACTGGATGGGCTTTACTTGACTTTCCCGAAGCTTTGTGGGAATGTGCTCCTGTGTGTGTCCCCAGATCTCAGCCCTGCAGACAGCCATCTGTGACGCCGAGCAAAGGGGAGACTGTGCCCTCAAGGACGCCCGGCAGAAGCTGGTTGATCTGCAGACAGCTCTGCAGCAGGCCAAGGACAAGATGGCCTGTCTGCTCAGGGACTACCAGGAGCTGCTCAACGTCAAGCTGGCCCTGGACATTGAGATTGCCACTTACAGGACACTGCTGGAGGGAGAAGAGAGCAGGTAGGAGCAAGCCTGGATGCATCTTTTAAGCATGGTCAGCAAAAGACAACAGGAGGAGAAAGAAATGCACCCAGAGCTGCAGAGGGGAGCAGGGTCCCTTTTCCCTCCCACTGGGTGCAGAGGGGATCACACTCTCATCCAAAAAAAAGGATGGGATATTAGTATGACCGTGCAATTAGGGCTCCAACCCTGCAGTGCTTTGGTGAGCAATTTGAACAAGCTCCCCTCAGCAGGGTGTACCTAAAGACCTGAAGGACATGTCAGGTTTCTAAGCAGGCAGTGGCTGGGTTCTACTTGCCCGTGAATTTGAGGAATATGTTCCTAAATACATCTCTGAGACGTTTCTTTGCTTGACAGGATATGCACCGGCAACCCCGTGAGCGTGGGTGAGTTAATGACCCCCCCCCTTAATTTCCTTACAAGCTTTTAAGCTTGTAACGCTTCTTTAAAGCCGGGTTTTGGCTGCTCGGGGCGTGACCCAGCGTGTTTTCCTCCCGCAGCCGTGGTCAGCGGCGGGGGCACGGTCGGGGAGTGCCGGTCCCTGTCTGGGATCGGAGGCAAATGCACCGTGAAGAGCGGCGGGGCCGGCGCGGGGCTGGGCATGGTCTCGTCCTTCGGCAGCGCCGGCTTCAGCACCCGCAGCGTGGATTGTGTCCCCAAGGTCGGGGCAGGATTCGGGGCCAGGAGCGCGGTCGGCTGCGTGGGGAGGGAGGTGCTCACGGGGGTGGACGGGGTCCAGTGCGCCCCCGGGATGGGCAACCTGGGCAACCTGGGCAACCTGGGCAGCGTGGTGTGCGCGGGGGTGGAGCAGTGCGGCCCCGGGCCCGTCCTCATCCCCGGGGCCCCGGGGGTCTGCGGGAACAGGTTCAGCACAGCCGTGCGTGTGGTCAGGACGACCCGGTAGAGACTGGCGGGGCCCGACACCGCAGATTTTATAATAATCAGCATTTCTGCAATAAAACAGTATTCCCCCTCCCTCTGACAGCCACAGGGATCACACAACTATGCACTAGGACAGCGCTCTGCCTAAACCCTTTGCCTGACAAAATCCACCCTCTCCTGATGTCTTTCTTGGGGGAAACTCCCCCCTGCCCCCCTCAGCCAGGTGAGATTTTCATTTCAGAGAGCATTCCTGTCTCCACACATCACCTTGGCTTTTCAGTCACCCTTCCCTGCTTGGCCCCTTTCCAGCAGAGACTTTCTTTCCCTAATGCAGCTATTGCAAAAGGATGAAAAATTTGGTCATCCCAACTTCAGAAAGAGAAGCCACAATTTAATTGTCCGAGACGAAGCTGCAGCTGTAATTTAACTTCTTTGATGACAGCAGAAAATCCAATTTTTCCTGTTTACAAGAGGGTTAGGAATGCTTATGTAAATTGGTCCAGGTTGCTACACCACGTTTGGTAGAGCAGATTTTAATTATGCCCCAACGAGCACCTTATATTTCTGTAGTTAAATGCATGCGTTGTTTTTCCTGTGTGCAATAGACGGAGTTAAAGCTTTTAATGTGTAAGTGAACAGAGTTATTACCCTTCGCTTACTCCAGACTTTCAGCTGTACCTTCAATAAACTCCATGCATAATTCATGCTGCTCTGCCTGGGCTTTATTTCCCTCCCTGATATTGCAAATCATAGAAATTTCCTCAAACCTGAGTCTCCAAATGGGTGGAGTTTGGAGCTTCAAGAAGTTTTTGTCTGCTCTCCTTCCTGAAGCACCTTTGCATACCTTTATTCCATCCACTGATTAGTGTGGCCACAAGGAAGTCTGGAAAGGAGGCTGTTTAACCATCTGTGGGATATGCACTTTGCTTGGGATCCCTCACAGTGTCTGGGATCTCTGGAGATGGAACAAAAAGACAACCAGGCCCTTGTTTAAAGAAATCGGTGAGAACCAGCTCAGGGAGTAACAAGAAAATAATCCCACACCACACCTGCGAAACTCTCTCACCAGAGTGGGTTGGTCTTTGAGGAAAGTAAGAGAAAAGTGCGGTTTCCCAAAATGCAGCACCAGGGGCTTCTTCCTCAGCCCCCACCTTCCTTAAAACATGTGAGCTCACACAAATAGCAGGGTCTGGAGATCAGGCTGGACATGTCCCTCCATCATCCCTTCCAGGGAGGGAAAACCCTCTCTCACAATTTTAGGAAACTGGGATATAGGAGAAATCACATTGCCCTTTCCTTTTCCTCTTCGAGGGTCATAGAATCATGGAATATCCTGGGTGGGAAGGGACCCACAAGGATTATCAAATCCCAGTCCTGGCCCTGCACAGGACACCCCAAAAATCCCAGCAGATGCTTGAGTGTTGTCTCAGTGATCCTGGAGTTCTGCAGGGCTCCCAGTTCTGGACAGTGACCTTCTGATGGGTCTCTATAACTTGGCTGGGGGGATCTTGCCATGGTGACAACTCAACCCAGCTGCATGCACAGCTGGAATCACAGGAACACCAACCAGCCCTGCAGCTCCTCTCTTCCCACATCTCCCCATGGCACAGGCAATGACCCCTGAGCCAGCTCTGCATCACCCTTGGGGAAATCCCTGTGTCCTCGTCCAGCCTGGAGCAGCACAGGGTGTGGGCAGGGTGTCTGCCCACCACGAACCAGGGGCTGTAATTTATTCCCCCATGTCCCACTCTGTTTCCAAGACTTCCCTGCTGACTCACGGCTTCTATCCCTCGACCTCTCCAGGGCTGGAGGATGGGCTCAGCCCCCAATCCCAGACTCGGTCTGTCCTCGCTGGTGGGATGGGGATGAACCCACCATGGGATGAGTTCCAGCCTCTGCTGCTCTGCTGGCTTCGGGCATTCTGGCTCCCCTCATGGTATATTGGATGTGCTCAACAGGGAGCAGAACATTAATTCTATTTTAATAAATGCCACAGTGGCTGCAGGGTGGTGAAAGCCAAGTGGGTCAGCCCGTGGTGAGAAAGCAGAACTCACCCTACTAAAAATGTTTTTGGAAACATTGTCTTCATCTTTTCTGCTGCATGAACACAACTCGGGCTCCATCTCATTTCTATGTAAATACCAAACAGAAACACCCAAAACAAGAAGCTTCCAGTGCCCCAACAGCTCATAATTTATGTTGATCATCTCCCTGCAAAGCAATACCTGAACACCAAACACCAGCCAGCTCCCCAGGGGACAAAAGCAGTCTGGCAGCTCTTGCATTTCTGGGAGAAAACCTTTAATCATCCCTGTCCTCAACTCCCAGCTATTGCAAAACCCACATTTGCTTCTGCCTGCTTGAAGATGTTCATGTACATCAGGGTATTTTGGAGAGAAAAAAGCCAGGAATATGTGTTTGGGGCAGATGGAGGTCAAGTCCTGCAGTGTCGGTCTGGACAGACCCTTTTATAAATGGATAGAGTCTAAAACTATGGATTCATGGAATGGTTGGGTTAGAAGGGATCTTATAAACTGTCTCATTCCACACCCTGCCATGGCCAGGGACACCTTCCACTATCTCAGGTCACTCCAAGCCCCATCCCATCTGGCCTTGGACGCTTTGAGGGATGGGGCAGCCACATCTGCTCTGGGAAATCCATTGTAGGACCTCCCCACCCTCACAGAGAGGAATTTCTTCCATAAATTTACCTTTGACTTTCCCTCTTTCAGCTTGAACCCAGAGCCTGGCAGAGTTGATCCAAATATGAAAATGCCACATTTGCCTCTGGGTTTGGAGCCCCAACCCTCGGCTCCTCCACATCACCAATCAGCCCAGGAAGGACAGGGAGCGTTTTTGAGGTGGCCTTCGCATCGCTCACATACCCTGTGGATAACGAGCCGAGGGGAGAAGAGTGTGGGAGCCTAAAATGACAATTCCCTCTTTCTGCTTGGCAGCCCCACCTTTAATCCCATTACATTCATTTAGCTCTAACATCTGATCTGAACCCGTTCTTCAGCTTCAGGACAAGCTGCCTTTACTGGGGTCAAGGAACCATGAAGACAAAATCTCATTTTCCCATCGCACCCTGGCTTTGAATTTTATGCAAATCATCGAGGCAATGGATGCTCATGAATTTCAAGTCACATTCCAGACTCAGACCCACATTTTCCAAAAAGAGAAAAGCTGACCTGCCCCATTTGGGAATCATTTCTCACTGCAAAGTGAAATTCTCTTTCAGTGCCTCAACTCTCCCATTCAAGCCTGCCTGGCAGCATTTCTCCAGGGGGAATCAGATATTTAGTCTTCTGTATTCAGTAGCACCTGTTTAGTTGTTCTTCCAGAGATGCCAGTGGGATTTTAGCTCCTTAATGGTTTTGTAGCACTGGGGCACAGGAATGTGTTTTGAAGGGCAAGTAGAATCCTGTCCTGTAAATATATTTATTTTAATATATTTATTTTAAGGTCCAGTCCTCCAGAGTTCAGGCAAAGCCACCAGTGCAGCCCCATGCCAAAAACCAGCTGAGCTCAGACATGCAAGGGGCAAAATACTCTCAACACTGCAGTTCCACAAAGTCTGACATGCCAGAAAATGTCACCATACCCTGTTGAATTTGATCTTTTTTTTCCCAAGGACCTAGGAAGTAAAATAAGGAGAATTTGTGGGAGTATTTTTCATGCTGCTTAAATCTGCTTTTGGCAGCATTTTGGTTGGAAGGTACAAAAGTCTTTAAAAGAAATCAGAGCTAGAGAGAGTCAGAAACTCAGTACTGACTAAATCCTAAAGTGGGCAAATTACATCATTCCACAGAGCTGGGCAGAGCTTTTTTTTTCAGAAAATTTGTCTCTTTTTTTGAAATGGTTTTTAGGTCAAGATGAAGATGCATCAATCACATCATCAGCTAGCTGGACAAATGACAACACAACCTCTGCATGGAATGGAGTTGTCCTCTGGAAATGCAAATATCCGGAGGAAAAGCCTAGAAAACTTGCCATAGGCTAAATAATGAATATAAATGGCCAAAATTTGAGATGATACTTACATCTGGAAAGGGGAAGAGGAAAACTAGATCAGGACCTCTTTTTCAAGTCATCCCAAAGAGATGGTCCATGCCAAGGGAG